GCTTTCCATCGCATAAAGGAGAATGGATTGAATGACTGCCCGATAAACACGCAGTTTCCAGGAAGGAGGGAGCGCGTTATGGCCCGTCAAAGGACGGAGCGACTTTGAGGCAGCGATTGCCTGTGAAATCCTATATCGTAAGTGTTTGTTGTTAGCTGAAGTATCATCCACGTAGGCGCCCAGGTACTTCACTTCCTGGGCCAAGGGCACTGGTTCGAGTACCGGCTGGTCACCTGTACAAAACTGGCAAGGGCATGGCGTGCTAGTGGATGGTTGGTAGTAGATACGACGATTAGTGTTCAGAGACATATGTTCACACTTTTCTTCATTAAGAGCCAGGCCTCTAATCCTACCTTCTTCTTGAACTAAATGAAGGAGCCTAGTTAGCTGATCAGCAGAATTAGAGAGTAGGACTGTGTCGTCCGCGTACTCCAAGTCCCATACCGGCTTGGGTGTATAAAAAACACCAGGGATTTCGCCATACTGAGAGGCATATCGTTCCTCTACCGTGTGAAACAGATGAGTTAATATAAAAGAAAAGAGGTATGGGGAGAGGGGGCAGCCCTGTCGCAATCCCTTAGTTTGCTTCATAGGTGCCGATTTGAGGCCAAAATCTCGTACAACGAAGGTAGGGGCCCTGTACAGAGCCATAACGACTGCAATCATATGGTTAGGAACACCCATGAACTCCATTGCTGAACTAATAGAGGTAAAAGTGACTGAGTCAAAGGCTTTAGACCAATCCAGGAAAAGTGCATGGAAGGAGGAGGTTTGTCGTTCGTATATTTCAATGAGACGACGCAGAACATGTATAGGCTGGCTGGTGGAGCGATGTTTCCGAAAGCCGAACTGTCGGTCCCTGATCCGGTCATCCAAGTAATACTCCAGCCGGGTCTGTAGCATAGAGGCAAATATTTTGTAAGAGATGTTAGTAAGTGAGATAGGACGGTAATTGGAGAGGGAGCGCGTATCTTTTGCATGATTCTTAATGATCATAACTACTTCTGACAGCATCCAGGAGTCAGGGACAACCGCCTGTTCCAGGCACTGATTATAATGTTCTAACATAAAGCTTTTAAGGACATAGGGAGCATGCTTGTATATCTCGCAGGCAAGACCGTTTGGGCCTGAGGCTTTGCCTCGTTTTAACTTTCGGAGGGCAGCATTGAGATTCTGCATGGTGAAAGGGGCCTCAATGCCATTACAGATGGGTTGAGGGGCACTCACCGGTACTGGAGGGTCCTCTTCTGAGAACCAAAGCTTATTGGCTAGATAGTCCGCAAAAGTAGAGGGGCGCTGTGTTTTAGAAACGAGCTTGTTTTTAAGATTGAAGAGACCTGTCGCTCTAGGTTGAAAAGGAGAGCGAATGGTGCGGGCGTGCGTCCATTGGTGTACGGAGGAGCCATGAAAATCATTGTACAAACAGGAGGAGACAAATTGCTTTTTGTCCTTGCAGGCACTTTTCTTAATCTGCTTACGGGCGATTTTTAAGGAGGAGATATCGTCAAAACGTGTCTTCTGGAACTTGTCAATAAGAGATAGTGTCGAGCTAGAGATCCACGGTTTCTTAGCTGAGAGAGGTAATTCTGGGATTAATGGGAGAGAGTCAGTCAAAATGGAGGTGAGCTTAGAGTCCTGTTCTTCAATGGTCTTGGAGGTCCATTCTTCAACATTGAAACCTACTTCCGGTGGAGAAAGCGAGGCGGCTGGGACGAAAGAGAATCTGCCTATGGAGCAACGGGAGTATACCCCTTGCTTGGCAAGGCGATCGGCTATCTCGTTTCCCGGTATGCCTTCATGCGCAGGAACACTAAGCAATTGTACATGAAACATACAGCGCAGAGCCGCATAATACTGCTGGGCAAGGGAGACTAGTTGCGGGTGAGTGGCAGGAAGAGAGCTACCCAAAATGAGATTCCTAGCGTACGAAGAATCGGTGTAAATGGTGAGCGAGGAGCCTGCTGCAAACTGCGAGTAATATAAAAGATAGTCAAATAACTCAATGAGGGCTTTAAGCTCTCCCGTATTATTTGAGCCAGGTAATGGCCCCTCTGCCGAGAGAGGAGAAGTTTTCACAGGTCCATATCCTAGAATCCAGGTCGAATCAGGGGGAGGATGTAATGTTGTACCAGCCGCTGATGTTATAGCGAAGCCCCATCCCGCCGGATTGTCAGCGGACACCACTCTATTATTGGGACAAGAGCCATCAGTATACGCGATGTAAAGCTGTTCTGTTTTGTGCGGAAGAATAACTGTATTGGAGGTCTCATCCAACAGTTTAGATTCCACTGCAGCCGAAAAGTGTTCTAAATTTGAGTAATCCTTTTTTGGAACAGAAGGAGGCTTTGCGACTGGGTCAAACTGAGTTTGGATGGAGAATGTGACTGGCAAATGTCGAGAGTTAATAAGTTGTTGGAAAATAGAACCTTCAAAGCGGACAGCTTTTCGCAATCCAATAGGGACAGCTACATAATCCAAGGTCGTCCAATTGCGGACGTCTGTACCTTGCAGGAGATGGTCATCGCAGGTGAGTTCCTTATATGTACACAGCTTTGCAAAAGGAAGGGTGCTAAAGGTCTGGGGAAGGGTCAGGTTGTGTGCCTGTAGGGTATCATAGAGAAAAATAGCGTTATCTCTATCTTCGTCTTGGATGGATTGTCGTTCCCCTACAACATGTGGGCCTATATAGTCAGACTCCGGATCTAAATCAGAGCCCAGGCGGGCATTACAATCGCCTGCAATGATAGTAAAATCTAAATTGGGATGATCTACTAGGATAGAGTTAAGTTCTGTCCAGAAGTAAGATTTGCGTTGACGATCCTCGTCGGCGTCCTCAACCTGGCTGGGAGCGTAGATGTTGAAGACGGTGATTTTTCTCGGGGAGACATTGACGGTAATTTCACAGATACGAGGGGAGTGGGGTTTAAAATCCATAACATGGGGTCTCAGGGAAGGGGAGACAAAGAACCCTACCCCATGGTGTTTTGATTGTGGGTGACCTGAATGTAGAATTTCCCATCCATTTTTAACGAATGTGTGTGAAGAAGTTGCCTTGGTTTCTTGCGCTAGAACAAGCTCAATGCCTCGTTGCTTAGCGAACCGAAAGATCTGATCATACTTGGAAACCTCTCGAAGGCCCTCTACATTCCAAGTAGCCAATTTTACAAAAGTTCCTGTTGGGAGTGGAAAAGACACTCCCGACGCAATATCTCTGACCTGATGTGGCGCATGTCTAGTAGAACGAGACTCACATGGCTTCAGCTGCTTTTGAAGGCGGATTGTGTTAGTCGGTCGTGGGTAAGCCGGGGGTAAAGGATGTGGTCCACCGGGTACCCGCCGGGTGGCATCCTTGCATTCTCTCTTCCACTCTCTGTAGTCTCTCCTACCTTGTCGTCTGTTGTTTACAAACTTATCCCATCGTCTCTCTAGTGCTTGTTCACTCCTAATTCCACGGGAGCATCCCCGGTGGGCTTCGCGGTGTTGGCAGCCGCGTTGGCGATTACTGTCATCCAAGTCATAACGTAAGTGTTCCATATCGTAAGTGGATTGCGGCGGACGCCGCTCCTGGTGGAGTGAATCGTAATACTGGAAGAGACGCCAGCGGCTTCCCGGCCCGCCTCCCGTGGAGGCCACCGCTCTCATAACCGTCCCGTACAGTACTGGCGATTCACTGCGGGTAGTCTCCAGCTCAAAGGAGACACCGCGTCTTTGCACATGCATCCAAAGGGAGTTTTTGTCGTAAAAACTGTACCTAAATACCCTCATGCCATTGGGCAGAAGGAAAGACTGCTTCCACAGATATGTATGCGATCTTGGAGTTGAGGAGAAATACCAAACATAATTCCCATTGAGAGCATGACAAATAGAATTTCGCTTTCCCGTAAAACCGCTAATCACAAAATGTTGGTGCTGAAATGCTGCGGTCCGTCTCTCGCGTGAAACGGAAGAGTTGGCGAAACTGGCTTTGGTGCTGCTGTTGTTGTGTGCATGAACAGTGACAAAAGCGGAAACAAGAAGGCTAGAGCACACGACGACCCTAGAAAACGGCTGCCTTATTTGTGCGTTCATGTCACCCAAAAACTCTCACCACTATTCGTATGGAAAACTCTCATCACTATTGTATGAGATGCGAGATTCCTCATTGCTCGTATAAGAAAAACTCCATCAGAATGTATTTTGAGTCACGCAGGCATGAAGTAAAGCGTCCATGCATACTGTGATTATTCTCGCGCACCTTCTTTTTCCTTATCTCCAGCAGAGAAGTCTTGGGGAAGTGACGTCGATCAAGGCACCCTCGTTTGGAGGGATGCCCACACACTTGTGCACAGCAGAATGCATGTGCACGAACAGCAGCAGTGCCACCGCATCTGCTCTGAACTGTCGAGCATACTCGAACAGCTGAACACTCAGGGAGGGCGGGTGGGACAAAACACGCGGGCTACCGCCACGACATGAGAACAGGGGTTTCCCTCCACCCTCCCAGCCAAAATGGCTTCACGGGAATCATTTCCCGCATGCTGCTCGTAGCCTGCAAGCGACTAGCACTTTCAAGAGAGCTCTTTGGAAAAGAGTGCGTTTTCAACCTTAGAAAACACACAATCATGAAAACACAAATAAAGACCTATCAATCTCGATTGACAGTTGTCTTATTTGTGCGTTCATGTCACCCAAAAACTCTCACCACTATTCGTATGGAAAACTCTCATCACTATTGTATGAGATGCGAGATTCCTCATTGCTCGTATAAGAAAAACTCCATCAGAATGTATTTTGAGTCACGCAGGCATGAAGTAAAGCGTCCATGCATACTGTGATTATTCTCGCGCACCTTCTTTTTCCTTATCTCCAGCAGAGAAGTCTTGGGGAAGTGACGTCGATCAAGGCACCCTCGTTTGGAGGGATGCCCACACACTTGTGCACAGCAGAATGCATGTGCACGAACAGCAGCAGTGCCACCGCATCTGCTCTGAACTGTCGAGCATACTCGAACAGCTGAACACTCACCCCAAGTCCTCCAAAGCCAGCTGTGCGAGTTCTAAACAGGAAATTTTTGCACGAGCCCCAAGGCTCTCGTTGGACACCCCCCTGGACGGGGCGTCTGCCACATTCGAGGCCGTGTTGACGCGTTCAAACCAAGGTGAGATGAAGTGACTGTCGCAAAACTTGTGTACCCCTTCAACTAACCTCCCACCGTTATCATTTTTGCTACGACCGCTGATCATGCAGTGCAGCGTCCCCTCATTGTCACTGAACAGCACCACACCGCATTCCCTCAAGAGAGGCTTCCAAGCATGAAGCGCGCAGTATATGGCAAAGCATTCCAACTCGAAGATGGGATTTTCACTATCGACCCTCCCGATTAGCTTCACAAGATCCTCCCCTAAAGTCTCGCTAAAATGGCCAATGATGGCCCCTGACCCCGAAACCAACACCCCTCCAACTCCAGACGTTCCACCATCGTTCGCAGCATCGACATATACATGCCAAGTGAACTCGGAACGATCAGATACACATCTGGGAGGGGCCTCAAGAATGCGGACCCTCAAAGTGTCTAGGGCAACCTTGGTCTGGGGCTGCAGCACGCCACCCCCTTGAAGAACATGACGGGATAGCTCCCGGAAGGCTAGGCCAGCCTGCTTTCCTGCGATCTGGTTCTCGCAGAACTGCAGCCGACCTCTCAGTCGCTCACCGTCTTTTCTGCTCAAGTGGCCTGTTGCAAGAATCTGTCCAAGTGCATCGGCTATGTCAGCTTTGCGGTTTTCCGTATTGCAAAAATACACCTTCCCAAGGTTCACATCATTGAGATTAATTTCTAAGCCCAAAACCTGGGCTATGGATCCAAAGGATGTCTCTTTGTCACTGGCAGTCTCCCACCCCAGGAGATTGAACAAAGTAGCAACGCAAAGGTCATGGACCCTCGCAAGCTCGGGCGACTCGAAGCCCACGAAGTCGTCAAAGAAGACGCTCCAGTGGAGCGTAAACAACGAAGTACCTATCACCCACACGCCTAAGGATGTCCTGCAAAATCCGTGAACCGAGGCTCTTGCCCCGAAAGGCAAGACCACCTGCCCATAGACTTCAGTCTTCTTGGTGTCAGGGTTGAAGACACATAAGAAAGCATCATTAAGGGACTCGGAGTGCAATGGTAGGTTTTTATACGCTTTGGACAAGTCCCAAGACCGTGCAACAAGTCGTAGGCTCTTCTTGCGGTCTCGAGCAGCCCTCATACGATGAGCTACTCCGGCTGCTATACAGTCAGCCGTATGCACAGTGACGGTGTCCTCGGCACTGGCGGTGGCGTTTACGCCCGACTCCAGGTAATTATCTATTGGACGGGTTTTTCCGCCCTGTCTGACCCCAAACCTCCTAGTGATTATCGCTTCGGGCGGAAGCGCGGCCACATCGACCGGCCCATACAGCCAGCCCTTTTCGAGCTCCTTCTTTGTGGCCTCCATGGTGGCACGATCCAACTCAGCATCACCCGAGCTCTTGTTGGAGTGAAGGATGCCCTGACGGGTGACATGCGCAGAACGTCGAAGGCTCTCGGTAGTCCCTCAGCCAAATCAGCCACCAACGACTCATCCTTGTGACAGCATGCCTCCAACAATTCCTTGAACAAGAGCAGCCTCTTCGGCTCCAACACCTTGGCACAATGGCTTGGCATCTTGGAATGAAGTTCGCGCTCACGTGGAACAAGCTCTCGAGCTCGGGCAACCCACTTGCGCATCTGCTCACACCTAGCCCTGCCTATGTCTGCCGGGTCTTCGCTCACGAGTTTGTCTATGGAGGCCTCGAGCTCCGGCGGCAGACCGGAGCGGAGCAGTCGTGGGTGGGCCACACCCGCGGCCCTCTGCACGAACTCTTCGGGGGTCCAGGGAATCCCTATTACAACCCTATGCATTGGTGCAACCTCGGGCCCGGCCGGTGAGGAAGCGCAAGGATTATTAAGGGTTAAACCGTCTGGCGGCGACTCATCTTCATGAATCTCGAAGTCATTGGAATTTTCGGGCTCACTCAAGTTCTCAGCATGCTCTGACGACCTCCTACCCCCTAGCAACTGTCGACGAAGAATGCGGGAACCTGCAGGCAACTCATTACAAGGTGGCTGCACACAGGCACCTGGTGGGAGCAAAACTGGATTCTCTAGCTTCTTTGAGGCTTCATGCAAGAAGGGCTCAACCGTGTCGATGGAGACGATGACACGAAACTCTTTGACCAAAGGCGGCGCACGACGCTTGGATGGCTGGCGGCCCACGGCAACCTGGGCCGCACGGTGCAGCGGCGCACAGCTAGCGGCCAAGTCTTCAGCAGGAGGCTTTGCGCCCAAGGAAAGCAATTGCTCACGGAGCGTGTGGGCCCACGCACGACACAGCTCAACAGGATAGGCTGTTTCTTGGCTAGTCGACCAACCCTCGGGAGTTCGCCCCCAGGGCTCATGCACATGAACGTCGCTCTCGCCGCAGCAAGTCACGGCCAGCTGCGAGAGAGCAGGTACTGTGTGGACCAGGCGAGTGAGTTTTGGTCGAGTCCCACCCCACATGCAATGATGGAAAGTGGTATGGATTGGCTCTATGTCCGACATGGAGGAACGCCAAGCCGACGTGGCCCACATGAAAGATCGTGCAGGATTCTCACAAGAGACCAGGATCCCTCGATCCCAACACTCCCGGAAGAGGTAGCTAGACAGCTCGTAGAGTTTGTTAGCCGACTGAACACGGCCGGCCAAGCTTGGGGGCAGATTTGGTAAACCGTCGGGATGGCGGTCCGATCTTGCTGGTTTTGGCGCTTGACCCGCCTGCGGTATCGATCGAGCGCGGCTCGCTGTCCCGTAGGGGGGTGCAAGATGCACATATACACAATTGGGATTGTCCAAAAACTGCGCGAGCAACTTTTGGGCATCGGGGTCTAACAAGTCAAGCTTTAGAATGGGCGCAGTCAAGCATTTAGTCACAATATGGTCGATCCCAACGCTGTCACCAAGGCCCACTCTCCTAAGTTCACAAGTCAACCGCCCGGATCCTGCAAAGACTTCAACGCCGAAGAGATCCCCGAACTCGGCACCTGCGACGCGAGCCCTCGCTCGCTTCAGGAAAACACGCAAGTCCTGAGATAAGGGGATCCTCGCAGCGGTGAAGGTTCACTTTGAGGGGTGCTCGGGCAGAGGATGTGGCTTTTGACAGTTGGGCTCGGCACACAGATGCATTCCACGTGGACACCGGCCACCCGCTGGAGCAAGGGAACACCCACCCGTGTTGAAGTCCCAACACAAAGGAACTCCCCGCTTTGTGGTTGACCACTTGCCCTTCAGCTCAATGGGAAGGCTTCTAGGCGTCTTGGTCTTCCCACCCTTCTTGCCTCCACCTTTCCCCCCGCCCCGTTGCCATTTCTGAAACTTGCCTGGAGGCGGAGGGGAAGCGTCACCATCGTCATTGGTGCGCTTCGTCCCCTGTGCAGCAGAAGCACTGGAGGCAGGTAAGGGAAGGAGATGGAAGCAAACTCGGGGATCCGTCTGCACTAGCGGCCACTCAGTATCCATCGGCAGGTTGCCGCCTGCGGTGCGCTTGACTCCTCTGGGAAGTTTCTCAGCGACTTTCAACCACGCAGCTCTGTCTGCTTCAAGTATTTGATGGATAGTGGGCCTAGCATAGCCGGGAGGCGGATCTACACTCAAATGTGACATGAGGAACTCATTGTAACGCATCATGACTGAGTACGTGCACACACCAACCAGGTCCATGGCAAGAGCTCGGCGATGCAGTGCATGGTGCAAATGAAGGGGCGTGCTCAGGGTACACTCAAGATCAACGGCTTGGTCTTTGACAGTAAGCTTCGAGTTCACGATGTCCAGTTCTTTCTTCGGCTTCTCAAGTTTCAGCTCGGACTGTCTGGAAGGGAATTTGTTTGGCCCTAAGTACACCACAACATTCTCTTGCACCATTTTCATGACCACATCGTATGACTGATACGAACATTCAGCCTCCCCACGAAGCTCAACACCTCGCGGGCTACCGCCACGACATGAGAACAGGGGTTTCCCTCCACCCTCCCAGCCAAAATGGCTTCACGGGAATCATTTCCCGCATGCTGCTCGTAGCCTGCAAGCGACTAGCACTTTCAAGAGAGCTCTTTGGAAAAGAGTGCGTTTTCAACCTTAGAAAACACACAATCATGAAAACACAAATAAAGACCTATCAATCTCGATTGACAGTTGTCTTGTTGTATGGGCATCTCTCATCCGCAGCGCCGGCGCCGGTGCTGCCGGGCTGATGGCTGGGGCGGCGTAAGGCGGGCGTTCGCTGTGCCGACTTTTAATGCTGACCAAGGCACCGTAACGTAAGTGGGTCGTAACGTAAGTGTGGGTAGCATAAGTGATGGATTGCGCGGGAGGCTCTTCGAAAAAGGAGGGAGAGCCATGTCTCTTCGGATGGGGAGCAGCAGCTATGTGGTGGTCGTTCAGAAGCTTCCTCGGCGGGAGTCAGGGGACGAGATACTGGGCTATCCATGGGTAAGTGTGATCCTTATATGCCAGTTGCAGTATCAACCATGCCTGGGTAATAATGAATGCGTGTTCGCCGCGTTCTGCTAGGAGGAGGGCCAAAGACTCTAGGCTATTGCCCTTATTATTCCAGTGCCTTGCTAGTGCTGAGGAGGCCTGTACATGTAGAGGGCTTTGTGTGGGGGCAGTCTTCACAATGAGGTCATAAATCTCACAGAATTGCGTATTTGGGGCCAGAATAGTTTGGGAAGCGGTGGTATGCAGGTTATATAGGGCAGCAAGGTTGTGGTAAACTGTGTCAAAGTAACTCGAACCTGCAGCAGCTAGCTTCTTGAGGGGCTCGTTGGAGTATGGGAGTTGGCCTAGGAAAACCGGCATAAGTTCGGGATACTTGGAAAGGAGAAAGCAGAAAGTTTTGCAGAACTGGTCCAGCAGGTAATCCTGCCGGTTTGAAAGTACAGCGTAGACTATTTCCTCTACGGATTGTACCGAGAAGGAGGGGGCGATCTGAAGGTCTTGAAAAGCCCAACGAAATGACTCTCGAACCATGGAATGCCAGGGAACAATATCAAGAGTGATCAAATCCTGCTTGAAATACTGAAAACAAGAAACCACAGTGAAATCCGGAAGCTCAAAAGAATCCCTGAGTACATCGGCAAATCCATCGCAGGAGAACTGAATGATCGAAAGGAACTTACTGGTGTCCTGTATATTACAAGACTTCACAGGGTATGAGAGCTGATGGAAAGCGGGGGGTTGAGAGAGAAGGGAGGGTGATTGGTTCGCAAAGGAGGAGTGCTTCCAAGGCTTTGGCAACGGGTCTAAGGGGTCGTTTTGGGACACCGAATCATTGAGGATCATATACCACCAACTCACCACAGAGTCAGGAAAACGAAGTTTGTAGATGTCTGAGTAGGAGGTCTTGTACTGTTGGTAGATTTCAACAGGGTTCTCCAACAGTTCTAGAACTGCTCGTTCATATGCAGCCATGAGTGAGTGCATGATAGGATTGGCTTCCGGGGCTGTGAGGGATCCTGAGTAAAACCTAGTGGCCCAACTATCCCAAGTGATACAACAGTAGCAAGGCTGGTTGTTAGAGGTATTACAAGAAGGGAGACTACCATCTGGTCTCGGGACGAAAAAAGGGCAGGCAAACCATTCAACAATCGGTTGATCAAAAGCTTCCAACCCCTCAAATCTTTGAAATTGTTGTAAGATCTCCAAGTGGGAAGAGTTGGTGCAGACCAAGCAAGAGGAGTTGGTACCGAGTAGTGCCGAACAATCATCGCATTGGATCAGGTTGGAGCTCAAGGTGCTATCATCCAAGAGGCTGTTGTTTTTACCTCCTCCACCAGACCATTGTTGTCTCTGCCCCCATCCTGGGCGGGTAGCCACCGGGGCCGGTACAGGCTGGGCACCCCAAGAAGGTAGTGAGGAAGGAGGACCCCATTGTGAGGCATTATTAGCTGGTGGAGGCTGCCATTGATAGTTGGTGTCAAAGTTTTGGGGCTGCCAATCCCCTCTTCGAATGGTGTAGGAGTCCTGTGGGGCAAAACCGGCTTGATTCTGACGCTTTCCCTTACCTTTATTTCCCTTTCGTGGAGCAAATTCCTGAGTCTCTTCCTGAGCATCATGTCGTTCTGGCCGACTAGGGCGATTGCCTTTTTGTTTGGAGCCCTTTCCAAAGTCCGAATGGGAAATTCCTCGATCCTGCATAGCCTGCTGAATAATTGCTTGCAGGCCCCCAGAGGAGGCACAGGCTTCCATGAGCACCTGGGGGGAGTGAGCGAGGGTATCCTGCATATCTTGTGTGAGTTCAAGGGGTCTAATTTCGTAAGGGAAGTACTTCAGCGCTTCTGATGGGGAGATGTTGCTAATATCCTGAGCATTGGAATAGTGAAAGCGAACATTAGTAGACCTGTGCCTAGAAGCATTTGCAGAGGCTTGAAGGAAGCGAAGGGTGTCGTGCATCCTAGACTGTAGGGCACCTCCAAAGGTATTCAAAATGTGTGTCTTGTGAGAAGGGAGAATCCCTAGATGGCACACAATGTTCGCAGCCGAATCCTGTGCATACAAAATCTGAGCTAGCAAACTATCATCTTCTGGATTCCAAAGCTGCAGGGAGTTGAAGTCCGTGCGAAGGTACTCCGTGTACAGTGGAGAAGGGTCGCCTGGGGGGGCGATTTTGGTGAGGCAATCCACTACCGCCAAGAGGGGTTGTCTTTCAATACGTTCCGTCGGGGCAAGATCCCTTTCTACTCGAACATGTACATCATCACCTGTGTCTCTTTGTCTGAAGTATCGCTTCTTTTGTCTAAAGGATTGGAAGAACTGTCTAGCCTGGGACTCCCTAACGAAAGTCAGCTTCAAGAAAGCAGAGGTTGTCGTCAACAAATGGTTGGTCATGGACTGCAAGTCATCTAGAGAAAGGCCTGTACTGCCTAAAAGGTAGTAGAGATTGTCCTGGATTGTCCTGTAGTTGGAGAAAGGAGGGATGCCATGGACGATGCAGGTTCTATTGTAAGTATCCGCATGTACCGAAAGTGAAGCTAGCCTGTCCAATCGGGCCTGTCTTTCTGCGTGGGTAAACTTTTCTGGGAGGTTCGCTGTTTCTAGTGAAGTGACTCGGGCTAGTAAGGGGCTAATCTGCTCATGATGATACTTCTCAAACCATGAAGTCATCGAGTCTGCTTGCAGCTGTGAGAAGGCTGGGGTCTCCGTTGCAAGGGGAGGTGTAGGGCCGATGGAGGAGGAGGAGGGCTGTTCTGGCGGAGGCACAAAAGCTGCGCCGCCTCTCTGGTACTCTAGTCGAGGTTGCTTGGACTTATGTGTAGCCAGAAATACCTTCATCTTAGCCGGGTTCTGCTGGAGCTCTCTAACTAAATTTGGGTCCATATCGCCCCACTCTATGGGCTCATCATTGGTCATCGCTGCCGAAGCTGAGCGCAAACCCGTAATGTTCGAAATATCCGAAGGTGGTCGGGGTCGGGTGGGTCTATTAGCTACACCCTGCAGGAGGGTCTCGTAGACTGCTTCTGAAATAGTCATCTTATGTCCGTCAGCAAAACTAGCGTAAGTACCATCACTCATAACACAGACATGTAAGTTGGCATTGATCTCATGCATGGTTCCTTGGGCAACGGGTTCACGAGTGACCATATCTTGGGGAGGAATTGCTGCCAAGTTGGAGGAATCCGCGGTCTCTTCGGCCGTAGGCATGGCGGCGGGCGCTGCGCCATCTTGCGTCTCCGCGGGGCTTGACATGGCCAACTCGAATGATCTAGACGAATTGCAGAAAAAACGTCTACCGAAACGGACCACAATGTGTCCTAGATCTAACTAGCTCACTGCGCAATGTGCGAAGAACAAAAGGTGCACCAAAGCTGAAAAGAACAATGTAGAATGTAAGTTGCACGTGTGGTCCTGGGCTGTCCCCAGGGGCGGGACGGCTCGAGCCCGAGCCTGTAAGGTCTGTATAAGCATCATAATTTGGGAAACACCGGGCAAAAAAACCCTAAACCCGCCAAAATCTTGCAAGCATGTTCCCAAAAGGAATCCTTTCAGGAAGCCTCCTTCGGCCAGGCCTCCCAAACCCTCCCCAATCGTCTCCCAGGACCAAAAATCAAAGGGAGCCCAACATATAAACCTATGGATCTTGTAAGCAGGGTTTCAGGAGGTCCCAGGACAGTCCTTCCAAAAGGTCTCCTGAAAGGCCTCCTTCGGCCAATCCCAGACCCTCCCCAATCGTAGAGAAGGCGCAGGACCAAAAACCAAAGGGAGCCCAAGGCATAAACCTATGGGTCTTGTAAGCCCGGCATAAGCATCATAATTTGGAAACACCGGGCAAAAAAAAAAACCTAAACCCGCCAAAAAAGCCTATGGATCTTGGGGGGACGGAGAGGCCGTCGCGGGGGTTACCCCAGGATTTGGTCAAAGGCGGCCCGTAGCGCCCCCTCCCACTACTGTACTTACACACGATATTATAAAACCCTAAACCCGCCCAAGGTTGAGATGTGGGTGGGTGGGTTGGGAGAGTGCGTTGAACCTGGGTGCACACCACAACACACGTCCCGCGTGGTGGTGCGCGCGGAACCTTAGCAAACCCTAACCCTAAACCTTAAACCCTAACCCTAAACCCTAAACCCTAAACCCTAAACCCTAAACCCTAAACCCTAAACCCTAAAAACCCTAAACCCTAAACCCTAAACCCTAAACCCTAAACGCTAAACGTTAAACCCTAAACCCTAAACCCTAAACCCTAAACCCTAAACCCTAAACCCTAAACCCTTTAGGAGCCTTGGCAGGACGCTGAGTTCGTCCTTATCGACTTCGTGGGGGGCAGGCTTTCACTTAGCCCTTGGCCCTTGGGCTCCACGGACTACAGTGAGCAATTTTCCGTTTATGGGAGTGTTGATAAACCCGAACCCCTAGAGTCCTAGACCCTGAAC